CTGCCTGCGCCCGGGAGGTGGTTCGCCCTTCAGTCTCCCAGGAGCGCAGAGCTCTTGGGACCAGGATCCCCGCAGAGGTAGGCAAGGCCGTGTGTGCAGAGGTAGGCAAGGCCGTGTGGGAAGCCAGCCGCAGGCAGCCCTGGAAACCACTGTAAAGGAGTGGCCAGCGCCTTGCCCCCGGTGGAGGTCTGAAACCAGACTGATGGTTGGCTCTGGCCAGATGCCTGGGTGTGGTCCCGTGTCAGGGTCCCCGACGGTGACGCCCTTCCCTGTCCTGAGAACATTCCTTTAACTTCTTGAGAAGTTCCGACTTGTTCCTGTTTAAATGTCCTTGGTCGTCCTCTGTCATCCAGCGAGCAACAGGGGGCTTTGAGCGTGACCTTGATGGTGATGGTCTCAGAGCTCAGCCAGCCCAGACTTTCCCTGCCTCCTAGATTGGGGGTCCCCTGCTCCCCCGCGTCTCCCATGGCCTGTCTGGCGGGCATCTCCAGCTTCACCCACCCGGTCCCGGCTCCTGGTCCCGTGGGCGAGCTCAGACCCCCACAGAGGCGCCTCCCTGGTCCGTTGTCTTTCTATTCCCCTCAAGATTTCAAAGATGTTTATTTTATGTATGTGAAGTTCTACAGCCAGGATTTAACTTCTTTATCAAGTTTTCAGTGGCATTCATTGGTGGTGCGTCTTCACGGAGCGCAGCTGGTGAGGCGTCCCGGCAGGAAGGGGCAGAGTGGTCCCATTCCGGTGATCAGCGCTCCCTGGGAACATTCAGATCCTGTCCTCCGGCCACCTGAAGCAGACAGTTCACTGCTGGTAACGCCGTCCTCCTGCTCCGCTCAGGGACACTGGACTCCCTCCTGGATTCGGGCACCGCTGTCCATCCTCTGTCCCCCCAGTCCCCTGGGACCTCTGTCCTCTCTTCCCTGGGACGAGGACTTCTTCCACGATGGTCTTCCTCCTAAAGCACGTCCCTCCCTTTCTTCAGAGGCCCAGGCTGCACACCTGGCCACTGTCACCCCCTCACATCCACCTGTCACCAGAGCCTGGCCCCCCTTACCAGTTCCAGTGCCACTGGCGTGACCTGAGCCAATAAAACCACTCAGGTGCCTTGCTGTAGGGAGCCTCCCCGTCCCCTGCCGTGACCCGTCCTCAGCTCAGCTTCCTGAGAGACCCTGTTAAAGCCTGAGGGACAAGGTGACTTCTCTCCACTCAGGGTAAAAGCCACCGTCCCCACAAGGAGAACGTGCTCCAAGTCACGCCTCCTTCCGGGTCCCCGAGCCTCTCTGGCCTCTCTTGTTGGGCTGGTCCTCGCTGCTCCTCGGACACTTGGGGTCACCTCATCTTGAGATGTTGGTCCCTGCCCGTCCCCCTGCCTGAATGCTCCTCCCACTTAGAATGACCTCACGTGAAAGCCGTGCCCAGCAACAGGGCTTCCTTGGGGGAAATTTGGATTCAAAACTCAGGATATCGGTGGGTGGGGAGCAATTGAAATGGTGATCCCCAAATTCTTCTGATCTGGGTGAAGAGAATTGAAATCATAATCAGAAGCACGTTTAATAGCACCGCAAGAGAAAGGGATGTTGAACTGTCGATGCGAACGCTTCTTTCTACAGAGCACCGAGCCGGCGGTCACGTTTGGTTATCTGAATACAGATGCACACTCCCGGGTGTTCAGAAGTCAGGACTTGAGGACTGGAGCTCATAAATACGAGCCGGGTGGATGGAGAGTCCTTTCCCATCAGAAAAGAATCAGGTACACTCCACCACGGGTCCTCTGAAAACCAAGCCCAACTGCATACTGTGTGGATGTGAACTTGAGTTTGAATTTACAAATCAGCCTCTGACTATGTAACTCAAGGACAGTGACCTCACCCATCCTCTTAATCCCTTGCACTTAGGGGACAGTCTGCTTTTTTTTTTCCCCTGTGAAAATTATGAATTTAGTAACAGCAAATTAAGTTGATAGCAGAATGGATGACCCTCCCCCACCCCCGCTCAGTAGCATCAGCAGAAGAGGTGGACACAGGTGGGTGGTGGAGGGGGCTCTGGGCCAGGTGGCCACACCTGTGTCCACCATCAACCCCGGGGAGATGGCCAAGAGCGTTGGGGAACTACGTGGATTTCCTCCTGCAGAGGGCTGGATAGGGAGTGGGCTCTTTCTCTCTCCTGGTCATTTGATGTCATCTGGGGATGTGTTTGAAACTGGAAATCTTCCTGAACCCCAGGATCAATGAGCCCCAGATGGTTGAGTCACGTGCCAAGGTCCCAGAGCCGGTGAGCTGCACGGCAGAATCGGAACCCAGGCTCCGGCATCTGTCTGGTGCTCCTGCCAGCACCTGAGCATTTTTGGAACGTCGACCACGTGGTAGCCACACACCACCTATATTTTTTTGCCAGGTACATGCACCACCTGCAATATCATTTTCTTAAGTATTTCTCTGAATTGACTTGTTTTTTTATCGTGATGAATTGACTTGGATGCAGCTCGGTGGTGTGACCCGTGCCTGCCATGCACACGGCCCTGGTTCAATCCCCAGGACCATGAGACAATGCAATAACTTAAATAAGAAGCATTCGATCTTTATTCAGAACGGAAACCAATGTCGGCATACGGACAGCAACTGTGGTGTTTTACGGACACCTGCATACACACATCTGTTGTATCCATGACTATGAGCAAAGCCAAAGCACCACCGCTGTCCACCTGGCTGCTCTGGCCTGCTGGGCGCTCCCAGCCTGAAGCCCCCTCTATCTCAGTTACAAAGGTAGATTAGCAAAAGATGGAGACCCCTCCCGCATGTAAGCACGGTGACTGAGAGATGGTGAACAGGGACGGTCAATGTCTTTGCTTTGGGTATTAACTCACGTACACAGGTAGCAAGGAGAGGAAGCATCACTTCCCGGCCCACTGGGGGACACCCAGGGACCTTCCTCCCACGGAGGATCCTCCATCCAAGGTCTTATTCTGTTTTCCAAATCTTACAGCCATAACCTGTGGTGACAGATGCAGACCCACGGTCAAGTCCACACCTGTTCCTTGTCTCTACCTCCACCTGTGCCCAGGTGTGGGCACTGCGACACTGAGTACAGTCCTCGTGAAACGTGCGTTGCCCACTCATCTCCCATTCTTCCCTCTTTCTGTTGCTTTCTGTCCTTATCTATTCAAATTTTTGAAAATGCTAGAAGACTAAAGTTGAACCCCAAAGCCAACTACAGATATAAGATAGGAAGACTCGAGTGGAGACAGAGAGAGAGAGAGAGAGAGAGAGAGAGAGAGAGAGAGAGAGAGAGAGAGAAGGAGGAGAAAAGAAATGGAGATAATTGAAGAGATGGAGGAGAGAGGGTGGAAGAAGCGTAGAAATAACCGAAGAGATGGAGAGAGAGGATTTGGTGCCGGAGTTTCCTAAGACAGTGATTCTGGGAGTGTGCTTTGGTGGCCCCGGGCCCCCCAGCTCCTCCAGGGCCCACCAGATCCTGCTGTCTCCGTCTCCAACAGCGACACCAGACCCTTGCCTCCTGCCTCGGTCGGTCACAAGGGTGCAGTGGAGCTTTCCAGAGGCTACGTGACGTGGTGATGTCACCCCCTGATATCGCCATGTCATGGGTTTGTTTTTGTCCTTTTTCACAGAAATGGACAAATGTTTTCTAGAATTTCTGCAGTTTAAATCCCTAAGATGGTAAAAAGCCACAGAGATAAGCCACGTTAATACAAACTCCCTGGGGTCCCCGAGGAGTGTCCAGGGGTGACCAGGCCAGAGGCCACCGCTGCCTCGCGGTGGAGGGGGAGCAGGGTGCTGGGGGTGGCGGCTGCAGGGTGCAGGGCTCCACCTGCATCTTGAACATGCAGGTGGCTCTGCCAGCTGTGGGAGGTGGCGGGGACGGGCTCAGCACGTGGAAATGCAAGATGGGGCAGGGCTGAGGCCGTGGGGCCGGGAGGAGGGGGCTGCCTGGTTGGATGCTGAGGCTAGGGGTGGTGGCCTCTCAGCCCCCGGGGTCTCTGAATTGTCTCCGAGGCCCCCCTGGCCCAAGAGAGCCAAAGAGTGGGTCTGCACTGAGTGTCCCCTCCCGTCCCAGGAGCTGGGACCTCCCCAGGTCTCCCCGGGGGTGGGGCGATCCCAAGGCAGCTCAAACCCCGAGGTTTCTTTTCTTTGGAAGCCTCTCCAAACAGGAAGGGGGCTGCTGGCGGGGCTGCCAAGAGTTAGGTCATCCGCGCCGCACAAACAATTTCTCGGGTTACTCTTTGGGGCTCAGGAGCGACGTGAGCTGCGCAGGGCTGAACTCTTCAACTCTGAACTCATCCCGGGTCGTCCGCTGGCCTGGACCGGGGCTCTGGGTCCTGCCTGGGGTCCGGAGTCAGGGCCAAGCCACAGGGTGGGTGGACCAGGCCCCGCCGCTTCTGGGGACACCAAGGGAACTCCTGCCCAGGGCCTTTTGAGGCTGGGCCTCCTGCCTCCTTCCCCAGTTAGGAGAGGGGAGGCCGGCCTCCAGGCCCCAGAGCCAGGTGCTGCGCAGGTGGAGTCACACCTCGAGGCAGTGCGCAGGCCACTCCGCCCTGAGCCCCTGCTGCGTGGTCCTGGGGAGACTTGGGGTCACCCTGATGGAGATGCCTGACGGGAACGACCTCGAGGAGGGGCGTTTACTGGAGTCCGTGGTCTCAGTCCACGGAAGGCCACTCCTTTGCTCTGGGACCTGAGGTGAGGCACATCTTGGGGAGGGACATACCGAGGGCAGCTGCCCAGCCCAGGGCCAGGAAGGAGAGACGGAGGGGGGAGAGGGAGGGGCCCAGGAAGATGCGCCCTTCCTCCTCCAGCCACACCCGCCTGCCCACAGCTGCCGCCCAGTCAGTCCACTCAAAGTAGGACGGACCACGGTCCACTCACCTTGCCTCCGAATACTCCCGCATCAACAGGAGGTTCTAGGGGACACCTACTTCCCCACCGTAGCACACGTATGATCTCATTTAACTCCCCAGCCGCCGTGTAGGACGGAGCTGGCGGTTAAGACACGACCCTAGAGCCGTCCGCCCGCCCCACGTCCTGGTTCCGAGGCCACCAGTCGCCTTTTCCAAGACGGCTGCGACAACATCGTCCATCCCGAGGGCTGGTCTGCAGTGTGACCTCCTCGCGTCCAGAGGCGAGGTCTTCGGGGGCCCCGTCTGTTTGTGCTTCCAGAACAGAGCACCAGAGACCAGGAAGCTCATAAGGAAAAGGAGTTGATTTCCCACAGTCCTGAAAGCTCCGAGGCCAGGTCGGGCGTGGCACCTGGCAACGGCCCTTGTGCTTCGTCATAATGGGAAGGCACAGGAGGAGAGCGTGCGCGAGAGCAAGCGGCAAACCTGCTTCTGTGACAAGCCCCTCCCTGCGACGGTGGCATCAGCCCACTCCCAAGGCAGACCCTGGGGCCTTGTCACCTCTAGTGGCCCCCACGGCTGCACTGGGGATTAGGTGGCCCACACTTCGACTCCAGGGGACCCATCCCACCCCCAGCGGTTGCCTTCTGCATCTGGGTGACCTGCGTGTCCGGTCAACAGGTCACAGCGAAGGTAAGGGGCTCCCCAGGCCAGGCTGGGGAAGTCCCCGCTGGGTCCCCTCGTTTGCTGGAATGTTCCTGCTGGAGGCCCGAGCTGTCGGGTGGGAACACCCCGAGGCCCAGGCACCTGGGGAGGCCAGGGCCAGGCAGGAGGCCACATGCAGGGGCACTCAGCAGAGCCCACGGAGTCACACTGGCCCCGGTGCCACGCCCGTGTGTGACTGCAGACACCAGCGGGGACCCCACTCCAGCCAGTGTGCCCGGGTGGGACCCTGACGCTGTGGAGAACAGGTGAGCCACCCCTATAGTGTCCCGTCCGAGTCCCCAGCCCATGGTCCCCACAGACAGCAGAATGGTTGTCATTTTATGTCACCACATCTGGGGTGGTTTTTACACAGGGAAAGTGACTAAGATGTGCCACTCACTTGCTGTGTGAGGTTAGCTGAGCTGCTTGACCTTTCTGAGCCTGGGGCTGCTGATCAGGAAAACTCTACATAGACTCCGCAGAGATGCAGGGAGAATCAGGCAAAGACGCTCAGGCTCAGCACAGGACCTGCCCAAGTTTCATTATTAGTTGTTGAAGACTCCTTAACAAATGGAAGTCAGGAGCAGAAAGAAATGGCTTTCCATTCCACGGTCCTTTTGGCTGTGCCCGAGTTCTGGGGCCAAATAAGAAATGTCAACAAAATGAAATACACAGCTGGGTGGTGTCCCACGCCTGTCATCCCACAGCTCAGGAGGCTGAGGCAGGAGGATCACAAAGTTCAAGGCCAGCCTCAGCAACTTAGTGAGGCCCAAAGCCATGGAGCGAGAGCTTTCTCAAAAATAAAAAGGGCTGCGTATGTGGCTCAGCGGTTGAGGGTCCCTGGACCAAATCCCTGGCACCAAAATAAGTAAATACAAATTTAAAAATAAAAATAAAGTCTGGAACATACACACGGAAGCATGGAGCTGACCCTCGGGTGTCACGGGGGTCACTAAGGAGGGGTGGGGTCTGTGGCCCACTAGAGCATTTCTGAATGGGACAGTCGCTAATCAACCCAGCCGATTGCTGATAGGAAGAAAGGTGGACCAGAGCCCGCGGGAATTCTAATTTTCCACAAGAGCCCTGAATCCACATTTGATGCAAAATGCCCCAATTCCTAAATATCAGCCAGAGTTCAAGTTCATTAAAACACGTCTGCTGGCCGATTAAGCACGTCCAGGGGCCACGCTGAGGCGCCAGTGCGATTCGCGGCGTGTGCTGGAAGCCTGCGGGTCAGGGCCGAAGACACAGAGCCCCCCTTCTCCACCAGTGTCCCCCGGGTCACCGCCCTTCCCTACGACATCCTGGCGACACTCGATCCCGGTAGGTCCCCCTGGTGGGTCCCCCTGGTAGGTCCCCCTGGCGAGGTCACCCCCGTGCAGACCCGAGTTCCCACCTGCTGAAGATCCTTGCTCTCCTGGGGCATGTAGACCCTTCTCCTGGACCCCTCCCACCATGGGTTCCGGTCCTCGGGGGTCTCATGCATCTGTCCAGGTCCAGGTAGCCCAGCAGTCCCCCTCCGTGGTGGGCGGGAGAGTTGTGGCTGGACAAGAAGAGTCCCCTAAGGTCCCTGGTTGAAGGCTCCATCCCCCCTGGGCGAGGTTAGAGTGCGGCTTGGGGAAGCGACTGGACCCGAGGCTCCGACCTCACCGGTGGCTGGTACCGCTCACGGCTCACGGCTGAAGGGACTGTCGGGAGGTGGACACAGGACACGGTGAGGCCTGATGGGAGAAGCGTCCCCGCGGCCCGCCTGACAGGGGTGTGTGGCCTCAGCCCCTTCCCCTCTCCTCTCTGCTTCCCGGCTGCTGTGAGCTGAGCACTTCCTCCACTACCCTCCCTCACACCCTAGTGTGCAGCCTGAGGCTTCAGGGATCTGATTGGTCAGTGGGACTACACGTGGCTGCAGGAATGGCTGGATCCAGGTGACCCATCAGGATGTCAGAAGTCTGTCTCTTTTCGCCCTTGGTCTCACGCTCTGTCTTCATTTGACCCTCAGGTGTGCTTTCCGGAGGTGGGGGAAGACAGGCTCTGCAGCTCCAGGTGCACATCCCAGCTCCACACCCCCGGGACTGACATCACCAGCAAACTCCTGAGTTTGGC